TGGGAATCAGGTACGTAGTTTTCTCAAAGTTTAAAACACTTGTAGTGTACGTATACGCAAACAAGTGTCCCGAGGATCGCTTAAAAAAATCGTTTCACTCTAATGCACGCTTTGTAGGTAACTTTTACCACCAGGAGTCGCACGGTTAAAACGGTTCCTGGCTTTCCCAGGAACTCCCAGGAAATCGCCTATGTCTGTACCACAGCCTTCATGGGAAAACCAGGAACCGTTTCTGTACCGTGTCTAGAAGCTGAAGAGACGTAAATTAAAAGTGAAAATATTACGGAGCTCGGGTCGGTGTCAAACACAAACTAGTCTTCGTAATTATTTTAACTGTGTACAAGGCAGGCAAAGTCTCCGATTTGTATCGCCCCTTTTCCTGTTATTTTTGTTGTAAATGCAGTTTCTGACTGAAATTTGTTTAGGTTTAAATATAGGCTTTTCAACCACATGAGGACATGCAGTAAAGTGATGTTTCTCACATCTAAAACTGCTTGTTTGTGCAATGTACCCTGTGGGACTAGAAAGTAAGTAAACATGACTTTTCTTGTTGTTGCAGACGCTGACAAGCGCACGAAACTTCTGAATGCCTGTACAGCAGCAGGTAAGTCGACTGGAACGCAGAGAATTTAGAACGTCGATTTGCAGGTTGAGTTTCTCACTTTCACTGTTCTGAATTTGTGTGACTACCATGTACGAATCCGGATCACAAGTCAGCGCAGCAATGTTTTGCGGAGTTTGGAAGCTCGACTTAGTTTTACTGCCTACCAATTCTGTCCAAAGAAAAGGATAATAATTTTCATCTTTGGTCAAGGGGGTGCTGACATGAGACTAGGGGTAATGGACTCGCAACGGAGCTGGCCGGAATCTCTGCCTTGCTAATTGTAGTTCACTATTCCTCCGACTAAATATGCGATTTTTGAGATGGCTCGGGCATTTTCGGAAAGAACACATCTTAAAGTATGCCCGAAATTCAAAAAAGTTTCAATTTTCCCACCAGGGCTCGAACAGGAACAGCTTAACCGTTGCGCTACTCAAATGCGCAGGGCGACGGCCATGGTGCCAGGGGCGACGCAGGGGGGGCGCCTCTTTAACTTGCGCTAGAAGCTTCCGGATGCCGCAAAAGTGATGGGACAAGTGGTGCACCTTGATATATGTCGAAGACAAACTATGTCCCATCACTTTTGCGGCATCGGGAAGCTTCTGTCGCAAGTTGAAGAGGCGCCCCCCCTGCGTCGCCCCTGGCACCATGGCCGTCGCCCTGCGCATTTGAGTAGCGCAACGGTTAAGCTGTTCCTGTTCGAGCCCTGGTGGGAAAATTGAAACTTTTTTGAATTTAGGGCATACTTTAAGATGTCTTCTTTCCAAAAATGCCCGAGCCATCTCAAAACTCCCATATTTAGTCGGAGAAATAGTGAACTACAATTAGCAAAGCAGAGATTCCGGCCAGCTCCGTTGCAAGTCCATTACCCCTAGTCTCATGGTGCTGACTGTCCTGAACCGTGTACGAAGTATTATATATTATAAGTGTTATAGAGTATTATAGGTATTATTTCGGGTAATATGTTTAGATAATTGTGTAAGTTTTCGTGGTTTGTCCTACTCTTTCAGGCGTGGGAACCGTGACATTGAACCACAGGGCTAGCATATTCAGCAAGTGTGGCACAAGCTGTGTCTCACACTTGTAAGCGTGAGACAAAATGTTCCACACCTACAAGTGTGAGACGGCAGTGCGCCTCGGAATGACTAAAAGTCCAATCGTTTGCCCTCAGATTCCCCCAGCACACATCGGTTGATGACGACCCTGTGCGAAACCATGGAAGTGGCGCAGCAGGGCGGTCCATCCGACGCGTCGGCCAGGACGATGCGCGGGCTCTGCACCTACGCCAAGGTCCTCTTCATGCTGAACGGTTGTCTGCGTTCCGTGGCCCGGAGAGGGTCCAGCCTCAGACGAGAGGTGGCGCGCCAAGTCGATGCTCTGGCGGCCGTGCTCGCCGCGCGGCCACGCAGCGTCCTCAGCGCTCAAGAGGTACAGCGCCAGTCCGTGCCAGCCGCACTGCAAATCCCAGTGTGGGACCCACGCTTGCGAACGTGGAACATTTTGTCCCACGCTTACAAACTTGGAACAGTTTGTTCCACGCTTTCAAACGTGGAACATTTTGTCCCCCCGCTTCCAAACGTGGAACACTTTGTCCCACGCTTACAAACGTGGGACAGTTTGCATGCCTGTCCCACGCTTGGATAAGCAGTTCGCGCCTTATCGACGAGCGGGTGCACTGTGCAACCAGTTGTAGAGATCTCTACACTCTCATCCCTCAAGGGCGTGAATTGGAATTTGCCTCAGCTAAATTTTGATGCCCTTTTAAGGGGAGGTTCTACTGAAAATATTGCATTTTTCAAATTGAGCCCCAGTGAGCCCCAGTGTAAACATTTGTTGCAGATGCATAGTAATGCATGGTAAATAGTCAGACGTGAAATGTAGAGCCCATTACCTCCCTCCAAATCAAGTCGAAGAGGTTTTTTCAGCCTATATTAGCAATATCGTTAGAAATTCTCCTACTCAAAGTATTTCAACGTAAACTGATGTTGTGGCCATTTTTCACTTCATTGGCTCATATGCAATTAAGCGTGGCATCACCAAGACATGGGACCCAACAAATTAATTTTGGCGTTGCTTTTCAGAAAAAAAGACACAAAAATATCAGGATTTTTACCATTTTCTTGAAATTTTATTGACATGCTGTCTTAAAAACACAGCTTATGATTTTGTTATGGTCCCAGTATCTTACTAATGCCACGGTTTATCAAGTATGAACTAGGGGCCGTCGATATGCACGCTTTTTCGCTTTTGGCTTCCCGACAACTCTTAAAAGATCGGAAATTTTGCGCTGATTCCAGAAATGACCTCGGTTTTTCGATTGGACATAATCTTGATCACCCTACCAGCCGTTTTATGAAAAAACAGCGGTTTTTTCGCAGTGAATTGATTGTGGTACCCCCAAATGGCGATCGGCAGTGCGGGGATGGGGTTTGGCGGCTGGATGGTCTTCCCTGGACCCAAATGCAACAGTTTGACACATGAGGGGGTGTGCGACCGCACCCATGTGGTCCTCAGACCTCAATTTTAGCTATTTTTTCATGAAAAATCGCGAAAAAAATACGTTTTTTTCGCAGATGGCCGACGATTGTGACACCCTACTGACACGGTGACTTGTCTGTTGTTTGTAAAAAGTTGCCCTAGGGCTAAGGGAACACAGCGCAGCGCCTGGATGGAGGCCGGGAAGCGCTGGGGAGGGAGGGAGGGGGTGCGGCGCTCTCACTCAAATTCGCCCAAAACGCCCAAAAACGAACGGCGCGTGGCGCGCTCGTCGCTGGGCCAGGGGGTGAAGGGGTGAGGCACCCTGTGGCTGCCAGCTCGGTCGGCTTTGCTCCGGCTGGCCAGCTGGTGCCGGTGTTACCGGTACATTATCTCCCCCTGGAGCTTTGTACCTACCTACATTACCTACAGCTTTGAACATTATGCCTAGGCATGGTGTATCCTCTCCCTCCCGCCCCCCGCGGGAAAAACGTGCCTTGGCATGTTGTTACCCGCACGCCCGCATTGAGCCTAGGCATCATGTTGTACCCACCACCTTGGAGGGGGAGGCTAGGGGAGAGAAGGGCGATTTGTAACAGATTTCGGCATTCGCTATACAAATAAAGAATATTCTATATCGGTGTCAAACTTGTGCCAGGTGAGCAGTCTGGCCCTTTATTTAAACTATACCTCTCCATTGGATCAATCTGGAATCCATAATCTTTGAAATCTAAGACGCTTTCCCAACTCCTGTATGCTGTTACGAATCGCCCCAGCATAGGGTGAAGAGCCATGGGGCTTTTCATAACATCCTACACATTAAATAGAACATCGTCGGGGATGTTATCTCCTCTAGCAGTTGTTCTTCGGGTGTCCTATAGACGCTTCAAAATGTAAGGGAGGGTGGGGCACCATGACCACTGGGGCACCATGACCACCCCCCTCGCTCTCGGGAACTACTTTGCCGACGGCAACCGGTCGACCGGACTTTCGAGAGAATAGAATTCTAACTATTTTCAGCCAGAGCCCTACCTTCTAGCTTCAAGGGTACGACCATAGCACCTCGCCAAAATTTTTGTTACAGCGTTTTGGCTAAATTGGGCGTTTTTCAAATCTGGGATATTTTTTCTCACTCTCACATTTGAGAAGATAGGTTCGATGTCTTAGGTTTTTCTCAAAATGTCGGCTCTTCGGCAAAATATCCAACATCACATTTAATTCTAAGTAGTTGTTTGCTTGCTCGGGGAGCCTTAGAGTCGTAAACTGCACTGTGGGGCACCATGACCACTTTTTAGTGGGGCACCATGACCACACATATTTGAGTGTTTTTTCTCATATTTTGGCCTGATAATGATTTATTTTCGTCGAAAATTTGCTTTTTGCTTCTGAAAATGTAAAAAGGTTGAATAATTGCTGCAGAATAGATAGTTTTATCACAAATTTGTGATAATTTGTGAATCACCAAGATGATTAAGAATGGTTCTGAAACTGAGACTTGAAATGGTGGTTTCTCTTGCACTAAATGAGCTCCAAACCGCAAAAGTTGGCCGCGAAGGCGATCCGTGGCTACTTTGCACCAAGATGGCTCTGGCATTATGAGAAACAGCATTTAATTCACTTGTTTGCAGTGTAGTAACCGCGATAATTTTCTTAAAATTTACCAAATTGAAATCTGCATACGAATTTGGACTCGTCTTAGCAAGACAAACATAAAATGTTAACACATGTCATAGCTTTGGATGTGAAATTTGAAAGCCTTAGAGCGTTAACTGTTTTAAACCGTCCATTTCAAGGCATCTTAGAACGTTTGATACTTCGAAGGTTTTTACAGTGTTTTTTAGTTTAGTTGACTGGCCTGATGGTAATGACAGCGATATAAACAATTTCAATGAGAATACTGGTAGAAAGTACACTTTTTGGGCCAAAAAATTACTATGGTCATGGTGCCCCACGGGGTGGTCATGGTGCCCCATAGGTGGGGCACCATGACCACTTTGCGTTTTATTTTCCAAAGTGTTCTGTGAGCCTGCCGTGCATTGCAGACAAGTTCCAATGGTTGGAAGAGGTCCTTGGAGGTCCAAAGAATCCCCTCATGCTAGAAACTTAACTGTTCGAACCACACGGTGGAGTAGAGGGAGGCACAAAAAAAAAGTGGTCATGGTGCCCCACCCTCCCTTACATTACAAGCTGCCGTTGACCCGCCTCAGCATTAACTGATAGGCAGTCAGGCTGATAGGCTGATAGGAATTTAATTGCGTGAACTACCTAAATTCTTATTTTCCTACGAGTCTGCAGCGAATCACCCCAAATGCCTGTTACGCAAGAAGTACCTACGTAACCACCACTCGATGAAGTTAAGAAGGCAACTTGTGCCACGTGGTTACATTGTAAAAGGGTCACGCTTCGAGGCCCTAACGGTACTTCGATGGTGATTCATACCTGGGGGGCCTCAGACAGAAACTTCCTGCAACTCAAAATCTAAGATTTGCATTTTTTCGGTGCACCCTACATTTCAGACTCCCTCCAGAACAATACCTGAGCACCGATCACATCCGCTTCGATTGTTCAAGGACCCTCTACTTGAAGCGAAAGAGGGGCCATACTAAGATATTACTCTGCTCCCTCTACTTAAATTAATAAACGCATTTGTTACGAATCGCCTCACTCTCCCGTACTACATGCCTAGGCATATTGTATCACCCCCTACCAGCAAGGGGGGAGGGGGGGATCAGATTGTGCCTAGGCATTTCGGGGGTTACACCATGCCTAGGCATAATGTTCAAAGCTGTAGGTAATGTAGGTAGGTACAAAGCTCCAGGGGGAGATAATGTACCGGTAACACCGGCACCAGCTGGCCAGCCGGAGCAAAGCCGACCGAGCTGGCAGCCACAGGGTGCCTCACCCCTTCACCCCCTGGCCCAGCGACGAGCGCGCCACGCGCCGTTCGTTTTTGGGCGTTTTGGGCGAATTTGAGTGAGAGCGCCGCACCCCCCTCCCTCCCTCCCCAGCGCTTCCCGGCCTCCATCCAGGCGCTGCGCTGTGTTCCCTTAGCCCTAGGGCAACTTTTTACAAACAACAGACAAGTCACCGTGTCAGTAGGGTGTCACAATCGTCGGCCATCTGCGAAAAAAACGTATTTTTTTCGCGATTTTTCATGAAAAAATAGCTAAAATTGAGGTCTGAGGACCACATGGGTGCGGTCGCACACCCCCTCATGTGTCAAACTGTTGCATTTGGGTCCAGGGAAGACCATCCAGCCGCCAAACCCCATCCCCGCACTGCCGATCGCCATTTGGGGGTACCACAATCAATTCACTGCGAAAAAACCGCTGTTTTTTCATAAAACGGCTGGTAGGGTGATCAAGATTATGTCCAATCGAAAAACCGAGGTCATTTCTGGAATCAGCGCAAAATTTCCGATCTTTTAAGAGTTGTCGGGAAGCCAAAAGCGAAAAAGCGTGCATATCGACGGCCCCTAGTATGAACCAAATAAGTGAAAAATGCCCAGAACATCAGTTTACACTAAAATACTTTGCATAGGAGAATTTTTCAAGTTACAACTGGAAAAAGCAGAAAATTCATCTTCGACTGGATTTGGGGCCAGTTATTGCTCTTCAAACTTCACATTTTACTATTTACAATGAAATACTTTAAATTTACAATGAATATTGATACTGGGACTCAATTCGAAGAAAGTAAGAATTTCAGTAGAACGTCCCCTTAAATGTTAAAATAAGTTAAGGATCCTTGCTATTTTGGCGTGTGCTTTCATGGACAGTGTCACTCAACTTTTCTGCGAGTGATTGCCCCCTCGATTATGAATGCTCCATTTTCACTCAACTGCACGCACCAAATGCTTGTGCATAATTTTGTATGTGTAGCTTGCACGATTTTGTGCATGCGTGGAATCTCGACGCGTCCTTAAAGAATAACTCGCGCTGCTCGCTGGGGGCTCCGCCCCCATACCCCCGCATGTGTGGGGCGCGTGCCGAAGTATTTTCAGTAAGTCCGTGGTGACCAAAGGCAAATTTTCTAAGGAAGTAAATGTGCTGCTTCTTTGCAAGGTCTATTTAACAGCTTTTGACCATATAATTAAGCTACTTTTACTGCCCATAGCTTGTATTGCATTGGCTACTGTGGCAGTCAATGGGTGCATACAAGGTCCGGAAAATATTGAAGACTGCTTTGACAAGAATAAAGGTGAATGGAAAAAGCCGCAAGTCTCTACGACCACTCCTAAACCCCAAACATTTCTATGAGTGAGTCAGTGAGTGAGTTGCAGTCAGTCATTCAGTTCTTGATAAGTGAGGGAGTCAGTCAGTCGGATTTTGCGGCTATGTAGGTTCTTGATGATAATTGATGATTGATTTTGAGTATGTTGCCGGTGACGGCGACCCGATTGCGGCACAGTTTCGGAAATGTCTCGACCAGACCTACCGATAGGGCGAATAAAAATTTTCTGTCGGTCGGTCCCCTTTTTTAAAGATTGCGTGGATTTTGTTGAATTTAGGCCTATTTTTATAACGTTTGTAGGATGTTGCCGGTGACGGGGATCAGATTGCGGCACAGTTTTGGAAATGTCTCGACCAGACCTAGCGATAGGGCGAATAAAAATTTTCAGTCGGTCGGTCCCCTTTTTCGAAGATTGAGTGCGTTTGCTCGGAAACGGTGAGGAATTTGGTCCCCTTTTTTGAAGATAAAGTAGGTTTGCTTGGAAACGGTGAGGAATTTTGAACTTTTGGTATTTTTGGTATTGAATGGAAAAAACCGCAAGTCTCTACGACCACTCTTTGACCCCAAACATTTCTATGAGTGAGTGAGTCAGTGAGTCAGTCAGTCGGTTTGGGGCTTTATAGGTTCTTTTGACAATTGATGATTGATTTTGAGGATGTTGCCGGTGACGGGGACCCGATTGCGGCACAGTTTCGGAAATGTCTCGACCAGACCTACCGATAGGGCGAATAAAAATTTTTAGTCGGTCGGTCCCCTTTTTTGAAGATTGAGTGGGTTTTGTTGAAATTTAGGCCTAATTAATCGTTTTGAGGATGTTGCCGGTGACGGGGACCCGATTGCGGCACAGTTTCGGAAATGTCTCGACCAGACCTACCGATAAGGCGAATAAAAAATTTCAGTCGGTCGGTCCCCTTTTTTGAAGATTGAGTGGGTTTTGTTGAAATTTAGGCCTATTTAATCGTTTTGAGGATGTTGCCGGTGACGGGGACCCGATTGCGGCACAGTTTCGGAAATGTCTCGACCAGACCTACCGATAGGGCGAATAAAAATTTTTAGTCGGTCGGTCCCCTTTTTTGAAGATTGAGTGGGTTTTGTTGAAATTTAGGCCTAATTAATCGTTTTGAGGATGTTGCCGGTGACGGGGACCCGATTGCGGCACAGTTTCGGAAATGTCTCGACCAGACCTACCGATAAGGCGAATAAAAAATTTCAGTCGGTCGGTCCCCTTTTTTGAAGATTGAGTGGGTTTTGTTGAAATTTAGGCCTATTTAATCGTTTTGAGGATGTTGCCGGTGACGGGGACCCGATTGCGGCACAGTTTCGGAAATGTCTCGACCAGACCTACCGATGGGGCGAATAAAAATTTTTAGTCGGTCGGTCCCCTTTTTCGATGATTGAGTGGGTTTGCTCGGAAACTGTGAGGAATTTGGTCCGCTTTTTTGAAGATTAAGTAAGTTTGCTCGGAAACGGTTAGGAATTTTCAACTTTTGGGATTTTTCCCAATTTTCCTATAAAATTTGGAATCGAATGGAAAAAACCGCATGTCTCTACGACCACTCCTTGACCCCAAACATTTCTATGAGTGAGTGAGTGAGTGAGTCAGTCAGTGAGTCAGTCGGATTGGGGCTATATAGGTTCTTGATCCTAATGATCCTAACTTTCGGAGCAGATCTAAGACAATTCTAACAGCCAGAAGCTGGTCCAAGACAATCCTAACTGTCAGTGCAGATTTAGAACTATTTTAACTGCAGAGGTACCTAAAAGTGTCAGTGAAGTATCTTCACTGCAAATCAGAGCATCTCGATACAACTGAAATACAATGTCCACTTATTTACATATAAGGATGAATTTTTGTAACAAGCCCTTCAGCTAGTAATTTTATGAAGTGTGTTGGCGTCACGGACTTTGAGAAAACACCGCTTTTTCACGTGATGTATGCAGTGAGGATAGTTCTGCATCGGCACGAAAAGTTAGGATTGTCTTGGATCTGTTCTGACAGTTAGGATTGTCTTGGATCTACCCTGGCAGTGAGGATTATCCTATCAGGACGGGTCGATTTGCATTATATTATGCGCACAAATGCACAATTTTACGCAAATTTGAGCACAAGTTTGGCACAAGCAAAACTTTTAACAGGTTTAAGGTCATGCATCACCACGCATCAAAATGCACGGAAACATTTAGTGTGCACGACTGTTCTCGCTTCGTTACAGGTTCTGGATTTGAACACTGAGCTGCTGCGGATACAACGGCTGCAGCAACTCTGCATGGTGGAGGAGCAGGCTGCTCAGGATGGCACCGACGACCTGCATTCCGACGACGAGTACTCGAAGGTGTCCTGCATTGTCCGAGGCACGGGACCCTACCCGCGCAAGACTCTGGACGACGCCGTTGATAGGACCATCGAGCGGTTGGCCGCGAGCGTCCAGGTAATATTTTGATCGTCCAATCACGAGAACGAAATTGACGACAGAATCGGACCCACTGTCAGTCAGACTGCAACACCCTCAGTCTCTGTGTTGCAATGAAGTATTCCAATGTTTCATTTATGAGCATAAAAAAATGCAATGAAAAATTGTAGGAAAATTTGGTGCAGGCTTTTTTCTCTTTTTGCACTGAAATCGAATGTGGGGTGAAGTTACCACATTTGGCTGTGGTGAGACCAAAGTGTGGTTACCGCATTCTACCACACGTACAAATGTGGTAAAAATTACACCCCTTCAAATAAGTGGTGATTAAGGTTTAAGGTTGGACGCTCAACAAGCGGCTCTGTCAAGCAAGAGCCTAAAAGCCTATAATTTAGCCGTTACCCATGTATTGCGTGGTCAAGACCACCCTTTGATGAGGTATGGAGGACTGACCACATTTTTTGCGGTGGTATTCACCATGAATTTTATGGGGTACTCTGCTGACCACTGATTTTTAGGGGTATTGACCGCATTTCCACGTGTGGTAAATTGGGGTAACCACAGTTTTGCGCCTACCACACATTACCTGTAGGCTGTACCACACTTCGAAGGACAGCACTGCAAAAGCAACGGCGATACTAAAGTCCATTTTTGGCGATACAATTGAGTATCGCCAATAAACGGCCGTACGGAAAAGTATTGCCTTCAGAACGGCGGTACAAAAAAGTATCGCCAAAATTTTTGGGAATACTTTTGGATATTGCCAAAACCACGGCACTTAACCAAGGTCTTCTCCCCTTGATTTGTTCGACGTTTATTGCCAAATCGTGGCAATACTCCAAAGTATCGCCAAATTTTGGCGATACTTTCGTGTATCGCCGTTTTGAAGGCAATACTTTTCCGTAAGGCCGTTTATTGGCGATACTCAATTGTATCGCCAAAAAAGGTACTAAAAGTATTGCCTTTGGATTTACAGTGAGTGTGCTCAAAATCGGGCTACGCTTCAAAGCGAAAAGTGGGGCAGTCGCAAGTGCCATTCTCATACTTGTGTTCTGTAAGAAACTAATTGCGAAGGTGCAAAGCTACTTCTGAAAGAATTAAAACATTTCCTCAGTGAACATAAGATTTTTTGTTCAATTTAGTGTATTTATTCACAGCAAAATGTTTGGCATCGAGTGCATACCGGCTTAAGTCAAATAAAATCCTAATATATAGAATATAGGGCGGGGAAGAACTGGACACCCCATATTTTACTTCAATACAGTAGGCACAGGAATAACAACTATCAAAAGTTGTTCCGTGGCATCAGCGGTTCATTACACGACAGTTGTCAGGCCAGTACATACGGCATTTGAAGTAAAATGTGGGGAGTCCAGTTCCCCTGTCCAGTTTTTCCCCGCCCCGCCCAAGCTTTCTTTTATTTCAATGTTTTCATCCATAGAATATAGTTATTTTTCGATTGACCACTTCTTGCTTGGTTTTAAAAAAAATTCTTATCATCAATTATTTTAAATTCATTTCATAAGGGGGGACCCTGGTGAAAAAATGGCCAAAACTGCCAAAAATAGTATTTTTAAAGTTTATAGATAAAAATGTGCTCAAAAGGTTTCAGTTTCAACAGGTTGAACATCTTTAAACTTTATGGGTAGTTCCTTCATCATTTGGAAAGAATTAACATTGAGATCAGTTGTCGTTGGCTTATACGCTCAACTTTACAGCTTTGCTCAGTCGACAAAAAAATTTGTCGTAGAAAGACTTTCTACATTCCTGGTTGACACCTACATGAGTCGTCTTGCATGGACTCTATTCATTGATGACTTGTCAACAAATTTTAGTAACGGAATCTTGATATCAGCCCTATTATTTTTTACAAACACCTAAAAGTTTGTAAAAAAGGCAAAAACTTCACTTTTTTTTAATGTTAAAATTTGAAAATTCATATCTCAGGACGAAAGTTGAAATTGAAAATTCCGTCACTAAAATCTCTTCTATTTTCAAGACTTTCCGTTCCAATGAAAGACGCACGAAGATTTTTCCCGAACACTCCAAAAAACACTGAAAAGCCACTTTTCTCAGAGACCGTTCAACATTTTGGATTGAATTTTGTTTTAGGAACTCACCATAATGAACGTAATAATTAATCCAAGTTTAAACTTTCTGGGATTATTTTAAAGCCTACTCGAAAGTTTCACCGCCCCCCCCCCCTAAGAAATGGAACATCTTACTCATGTTGAAAGGAAGTAAGAGCCGACAGTAGGAATAACCTAAGGTTTGGTCAGTCGACCACTATCATCGTTTTAATGATACATAAAAGATTTTAAACGCGTTGGGCTGACAATTCTGAACCCAAGAAACTTTAAACTTTTAATCCTCTTCACTCTTAAAGTTGTACAGTGAAGAATCTCTATATTATGGTGACAATGATCTAGTGTGAGATCTATCGAGAAAATGATGAGCTGTCTTTGTGACATACTATTGAGAGTTCACTGTACACAATGAAAAGTCTACGAAGCATTTGCTTTATAACTACGAATAAAATGAAGGCATTGTAGAATTACTTCGTATTATGAAGTATTGCAAAGGATTTTGCTTCATAATACGAAGCATTTCTTCGTAGATTTTACAATGCCTTCATTTTCTTCGTATATTACGAAGCGATTCTTCGTAGAGTATTTACTGTGTACTTTATAGATATTTTGACGTATTTCGTTTGTATTATGGAGAAAAAGTTCACCATGGTGGTGCCCTTTCACCGCAAGACAATTACAGTGTTTCCTTCATTCCAGCTGGGCGCTCAGTGGTGGGAGGAGGTTGAACTCCCAAGATCCGCCGCGCAGGGAAGCTGGTACTTCTGCGGCAAGGGGCACACCTACCCCAAGACGGGAACGGAGCGACGCTGCAACAAGTGCCCCAGGGACTGCATGGCCAGAATATTGGAAGATCCATCGTAGACGCATTCTCTGCTTCTTCTGCAGAGTGCAGCTTGGCTGTGCCTGAAGCTCAGTATTGTCGGCGAGCGTCAGTGCGTTCGCATTGTGTTCAAATTTGTTTGATGGTAATTCCTAGTCTACTTTAATCATGTCTGACGTTTACACAAGTGAAGTAAGCTTTAATTTTAACTCATGACTGTAGTAAACTTTAATTTTATAAATAGTGAAGTAAACTTTAATTTTAAGTATGTGTGTCTCTTAAAGCCCCATGTCTTGCTCCTGCATTTTTCCTCTAGGCTTCTAGTGCGACGCAATTGATCTTAAAGTGCTCATAAATATGCAATTTTATATTGACCAACTCGTAAAGCATTAAAATAGGGGTTTACGTTCATACGGCACAACTTACAAGAAAACAAAGCAGGGGAAATAGGCAAACACTGACAGTAGAAACAGTCTTTTCGGGTATGGTCCATTCAATACTGAACAGATCAATATATTTCTCGCAGAAAAACAACAACAAAACGTCACTATGAAATGGTACAAAAAACGTCATTTTTAATCAGTCTCACTGTTTATTCGGATATAATATTGGTTTATCACTTCCGAAAAAAAGACGAACACAACGAATGGCGCGACGAGACACAAACGGCGCTCTTACACGAAGGGAAATTAACAAAAATAATCTTTCATTTAAGAAATCCAAAGGGAAAATGAAGTTAACTCGAAGAAAAAAAAGTAATACTGATACTTTCTAGACATACGGTACAGATGTACTTGAAGTAAGAACATGATCTACAGCGACGAGAACATCAGCTTGACACAGCAAAGTTCCACACTCAGTGCTATAATCAAAATTGAAAACAGGGGGCCCGTTTCACACTCGTGAGTGTCCACATGCCGTCGGTCACCTCGAAAGATTTCGAATTACGTGACGAGGACAAGGGCTTTCCTCTCACAACACATTCCTACGGCTTCTCCCCAGAGTGAATCCTCTTGTGTCGCAACAAAGTATCTGGCCGAGAGAATGCCTTACCGCAGACGTCGCACTTGTAAGGCTGCTCCCCGGTGTGGATCCTCTTGTGTTTCACTAAGTCAGATGAATCAGAAAATGCCTTCCGGCAGACGATACACTTGTAAGGCTTCTCCCCAGTGTGGATCCTCTTGTGTTTCACGAAATAAGATGAATCAGAGAATGCCTTCCCGCAGACGTCACACTTGTAAGGCTTCTCCCCGGTGTGGATCCTCTTGTGTTTCACTACATGAGATGAATTAGAAAATGCCTTCCCGCAGACGTCACACTTGTAAGGCTTCTCCCCGGTGTGGATCCTCGAGTGCCTCACAAAGTTGCTCTTCTTGGAGAACTCCCTGCCACACACCCTGCACGAGTGAGGTCCGCCCTCAGTGTGACTTGCAAGGTGGTCCCGCAATCCGCTCTCAGTGCGGAAACGTTGGCCGCACTCCCCACAGTTGAATCCGCGGCGCGCCTTCCTGCCCGTCTCCTTGCTCGAGGCCTGCTCGTCCTGGACCGCGTCGCCAGCCGGCACTGCGAGGGAGAAGGCCTCGCCTACGAGCAGCTGCTGGGCCTGCTCCGCGCCGACGCCTGCAACCAAGGGACGGCCATGGTAAGACGGACCACGACTTTCCAGGCTTTCCTTGCGATAACTTTTCGAAGACGTTGCGGTGGCAGGAATTTGTTGCTGGCCCTTAAGGGAGAAGCTACGTTTAAATGACATTTTTCACAAAGTTCTTCGCCTGTACCATTTTCTGGTGCCTATGAATTTGACAGTCAAGTGTATTTCAGGCAGGCCGCCCTGCCAGGTCGACCACCCAAGAGAACGCATTTCAACTTGCGTCAGGGTTGCAGGACAGCGCCAAGTCTAACACACTTAATTAGCCTTTTTAACCGTAACTACACACTAAAGGTTTGTGTACAATTTTGTACGTGGTGATGCATAATTTTAAACTTTTGTGCCGTCGTGCACAAAATTGTGCCTGAATTTGCATAAATTTATGCATTTTCACGCATAATATCATGCAAATTCCCCGCATGCACAACATCGTGCAAGTGGCACGTACAAAATTCTACATAAACATTTAGTGTGTATGGCCATATTTGCACTGCGATTTCAAACGATATGAGTATAGCACGTACACTGAAAATAGAAAGGTCAGACTTCTGACCCCTTAAACGGTCTTACTGAAATGTAAGACCGAAAAAGGGTCATACTGAAATGAAAGACCGAAAAAAGGTCATACTTTGATGTATGACCGAAAAACGGTCATACTTTATAGTGTAAGGTAAAAAATCAATTGTGGGTCACGAATCAATTGTGGGTCATTTTTTTTCGACGGGTCACCGCAGACCCGACGGAGATTGAATCGATTTGAATTTCGCGGTAGACCTTCCTCCAACCTTTCTTTGTCTTCCAAAATAGCGTGTATGTCCGAGCGACGACTGTAACGGCTCCTATCAGGCTTCAAAGGAAGGCCCTTCAAAAAGTCGTGAAAAAAGCGCCCATCCAACGAGGCGAAAAATCGTGTGTTTTTCAATTTGCCACCGTGAAGCCATTACGAGGTAAAACGAGACGCCCTTGCTGATTTAGGTTCATAATAGGTCAGGGAACATAAATTTACCATAGTACAGCCGAAATCATTCGATGCCATGGTGCGCGGGTGATGGCAAAGTAGCGTTCGCTACCATGTCCGACCCATTATTTTAGACGAATTTTACGGTAGTTTTTTTATATTTTTGTTTTCTACGCTTCTGAATGACTGATATATCGTATCACAGTAAATTCCATTTTTCTGCTCTGTCACATTTAGTACTACGATACGAAGGTTGTTAAGGTTAGGCTACAGCCCCGGATGACAACGCTAGCTCTTACTTCCAGTCCGCCATAAGGCTTTTTTTTGTTGAGGAGGGGGTGGCATTGCGGGGCTTACCTAGCGCCCGGAAGGGGACCACTCTCTAACTGCAGGCTAGGCACCCGAGGCCAGTCCGGGTCCGAGTCAAATCAATCCCTACAGACTAAATATTCTGACTGAAATAGACTATAAACTGTAGCAATACTTCACGATGACAGGGTGTGGTGTTGGATTGTCTACCACACCGGCGGCCCTAGAATATGCACTATAAAAGTTTCGTCTCTAATCCAGGACGTTTAACTCACATCTGTCTCACAGTGTAATAAGCCTGTTTATGTATTTTTCCTCTTTGAGTGAAAAACGTGCCTGCTTGGTTTATTGAGAACCAGGGACCTTTTATTGATGAAAATAGGAAAATATCTTGCAAAAGTGGCCAATTTACAAGCAAAAAGACGAAATGGCCCACATTTGATATGACCCACAATTGATTCATTGTGCTACAGATCCTGCAGTTTTCACGATTCCGAAAAATAAATTCAAAAGTGAATTCCTTTCGCATCCAAGCAAATCATATCCACATTTGAGCTTTCTACAATGCTGACCCACAACTGGTTCCAAAAATCAATTGTAGGCCAAAACAGACTATTTTTAAAACAGCCACAGCTTAGTAAATAAGGATGATAGACGGGGCTACTATGCTGCAAAACTTAGTCCAAGGACCATAGTGAAAGGCCGCACATGCACTTTTGTCACCAGGTCAAAATTAAAGGCCTTAATTTGGAATTTTCAAAAATGTGACCCACAATTGATTTTTTACCTTATCACGGGTAAAGGCTGATATATCCCCAAGCTAAACAATAGCCAGTCTCGCTGATGTCTGACCTTTTTTTGGTCATACATTTGTGTATGACCGAAAAACGGTCTTACTTTTTGTATCACCGAAAATCGGTCAGATGTCTCACCATTTGAATTTCAGTGTATGGTGCGATGCAGGTGAGATATCGCACCATACGTGCAATGCGATAGCCATATTGCACCTTACGTGCGATGCGTCCCGAAAATGCCCTATGCTAATGCATGAGAATGGGGAGGTATTGCACTTCATGTGCGATGCTTTTGCATCGCAACAATGCGATGCGTTTGCATCGCACCAATTGACGCACATAACGTTTGGATTCTCAGTGAGTACAAACATAAGTTATGCTCAAATTGGAACATAAATTATGTAAAATTCCGTCAATACTGAAGCACAATATGAATTTTTGTTCCAAATATTCGTTTACAATTGTACACAGCATACGTAAATACTAATAGGGCCGTGGTTAAGAACAATAAAAGTACGGAAACAGTCAGTGTGCGTGTCGCACTGTGGGAAAAAATCACAGTAAATCCTGTAGTGATTAGCACAGCTGTCACTGTAGTTCAGAGTACAGGATTTACTGTACTTTTTAAACAGGATCTACTGTACTTTGTACGGGATTTACTGTACCACAGGAGTGGAGTACGGAATATCCTGTACCAGGTACAGTAGTTACTGTAGCCAGGCACGGTAAACCCTGTGTTCTGAACTACAGTAAATCCCGGCAAAAAAATTAACGGGATTCACTGTTTTTTTTTCGCACAGTGCGTAAGGGAACCCATAGAGTGGAGTTGGACCACCCCCTATCATTTCAAGGGAGTTGCGTTGGCTGCCGAAGCAACACGTAAGAAGCCTTGCAAAAGACTCACCTGCAGCGACCTTGGAGTCCGGCATGCTTCCCTCCTCGTCAGGCTGGTCGAACACTCCGTCCAGCGGCGGGCACGGACCGCCATGGCCTGGGCCTGGAAGAGAACCACCGTCATTGGCAGAACCAGCCGAGGGCGCAGAGGGGGCGGCGAGGGCCTTACCGCACACAGCGCACTGCACGCACGGGGACGGCTGCAGTCCGGAGCTCCAGTCGCAGTCAGCACTCTCCGTCGGCAAGTCGATGCTCTCGATTTTCAGATCTAGCCAGAAAATACGGCAGTTAGTATCCGATAAGACAGTCAGCTCCCAATAAACCTGTTCCCAGCGCCCGGCATGCAAAAGCGCCACACACTAAACTACACTCCAAAGTGAGGTACCGGGTTCAGACTTAATTATAGAGGAATTTAGTCGACGCTCTAGGCTTACAGATCTGGACAGAAAAATAAGGAAGGGAGTATCCGATGAAAGAGTCAGCTCCCAATGAACCTGTTCCCAGCGGCCGGCATGCAACAGCGCCACACAATTTGAAAACCACTGGCCAAAAGGGAGAAGTGAAGGGGGGCAGATTTTATTTTTCAAGAATTTTGAATGAATAATTTGAAACTTTTCAGCAATTGCATTGGAAGATACAACAAAAACGTTCGTATTACGAAGGAAAACCACCTCTGCATTATGCTTGCGCCATTTCTGTTGTGTTACGGGAAATTTATTCGTAATACATTTAGGATGAAAACATTACAAGAGAAAAGCATTCCACTTACAACAACCCGTTCGTAAAAAGCAAAAAAAAAATAAAAAAAAATTCCAATGCTAATCGCATTGCACGGTGTTCCCGTTTTCATAACTGGTTTAAAAGTGAGATATAAACAAATGTGTAGAAATTGTGGTTTGGCCTGAATTTAAACAGGTATTGTATTTAATTTAAGCGTGCTAATCGGAGTAGAGGTCTGAGGTAGGCTCTAAATGCAGGGCTGCTTTGTGGGCTCATTTTCAGCCTTGTTAAGCTCTAGAGAGGCAAAAACTTGGGCTTTGATTCGAAGTCACCGCCTGCTAACGGCTCAAAGAAGTCCGACTTTGTAAGGAGAATGCAAATAATTTGTACCTTAATGTTTTAAAATAAATGCACATGGTCACAGTTCAAGCCTCTAGCTTTAATCCAAGCCCAAACTTTTGCTCCTCTCAGCAACGATGGAGCGGCAGTTTCAATGAGCATGCGCTAAATTCAAACTAAGCAATGGAAAAGAGTTCTGTCAAACCTGATTCAGTTAACACTATGACCGTCTCACTCCATTTCGCGAGTTACAGTGCTCATGTTCGTTAAACGAAAGTCAGCGGCGTTTCGAAATCACCCTTCCCGAGTTTATAAAGTTTGTCAAACCAACCATCGTGCTGTTTTTACGTTGTGAGTAAGAACTGTTCTACAGAATCGAGGAAAACATGACAAGACAACCGCAGCCTTTGAGAGCAACCTCAGCAACAATGGAGGGGCAGTTTCAATGGGCGCCTGCTCGTTCTTTCAGCCTCGCGATTTTCGAAAGGGCGCAGACGGCAAGCAAATCGGTGCCAACCCACGAAAATTAAATTGGTGCGTCGTTTCTGCTACGAACTTTTAATTAGTGACAGACTTTAAAGATGTTCCAACGTAGGGACACCGTTCAATGCGTTAGCATTGGCATTTTCGAATTTCACGGCGTTTTGATTTCTCTTTATCGGCGACTTTAAATTTTGACGGGTGGCACGATAGGATCATGCCGTTGCCATGGAGATTGTTTTTTCATGTTTTAACCATTTGCTCAGAACACAGACGATTTCTTGTTACTTTGATGAGCCAGGAGGTTTAGTTTTGAGGAGTGGCACATTTTTTATTTGAACCATTTTTTCGTATCATGAACGGTTCTCGTTTTCGATTGTTGCAAATTTATGTTTTTCGCGTTTACGGAAAATTTCCACGATAAATTTTCGAAAAAATTTGGAATTTTCGTTTTTTTCATGGTTGAAATAGTTTAGCGTTGTTTATTTGAAAATCGAAGAGGGGGGGGGGGAAGGAATCCACGGACCTCGGACAATAAAGGTTCTTGGGAACCCCTAAAAAAATAAGGTAGGGCGGCAGCTCCTGCAAGTCCGATCACCAAAAGTTAGAGAAAAAAAGCAAGGCAAACCATTAATGGTAGAAACCCTTGTATTCAATTTACTCGATAAGGGAGGATAGAATAGGGTGCAATAACCTATATGGCACTCAACACGCGATTTGTAATCAGTCTTACTGCTGTCTCGTCGATTGTCACTGGATTATCATTTCTAAAATCAACATCTATACTTGGCAAAGTTTCGACACAGAGAGACAAATTGCGCACTTTCAAAAAATAAAAATAAAATTTATTCCACGTAATCTATGTAAACAGTAAGCAAAACAAACTGAAACGTAAACAGTGCGTAGTGCTGATACTGGCACTTAAGTTTTACGGTACGGGAATAATTGATACAAAAAAAAGGTCGACAGTGACGAGCACATAACGTTTACATAGTAAAGTTCCACACCCGGTTCCTTTAACGAATTTCAAAAGAGGAGACCCGTTTGAAACGCGTGAGTGTCCAGATGCCGTCGGTCACCTCGAGGGACACCTCACACAACACAATCCTACAGGTTCACCCTTGAGTGGATCCTCTTGTGTCTCACTAAATTACCTGACTCAGCAAATGTCTTTCCACACACGTCACACTTGTAAGGCTTCTCCCCACTGTGGATTCTCTTGTGCTTTAAAAAAGCAGATGAGTCCGAAAACTTTTTTCTGCACACCTTACACTCGTACGGCTTCTCCCCAGAGTGGATCCTCTTGTGGTTTACCAAATTAAATGATACAGAAAATGCCTTCCCGCACACGTCACACTTGAAAGGCTTCTCCCCAGAGTGGGTCCTCTTGTGTTTCGCTACACTCCAAATCCAGGGTGTCTAGAAACTATACGCCTTAGGCGTATGCCACAGAAATGGAACTGCCTTAAGGCGCCTTGATTCTACACGCCAAAGGCGTATACCCCATTGAGCACCTTTTGCAGATAGAATTTAGCATGTGAGCACCATTGGTCGAAGGAAAGGTGCGTGCATTGTACACACCCTGGATCATAGGCACTGAGCTCAACAGGACTCTAGGTGCGTTGAATGCAAACACCGCCCTTGGCCGAGGCCATGCCTACCGAGGCCTTAAAGGGTGTTTACATTCTACGCACCTTGAGTCCTGTTGAGCTCAGTGCCTATGATCCAGGGTGTGTACTGTGCCGGAACATAAGATGTTGGCAACCCTGATGTGAAACCCTGTACTATGAGAAACAATAAACCTGCAGAGCTAGAAGGCGGTGATTGAAAAGAGCTGAACCAAACATGGGTCTTGGATTATTGAAGTTAAAACATATCCTTTGACATCCAGCTAAATCAAGAATTGAGATTAAATAATAAGTCACACACAAGTC